CTACGAGTTGGGAGGACAAAAAGTAGATGTGTGTAGGAATCCTGGAATTACATCCTCTCTGAAAGGATACATATCGTATACGTCTACTGAAAGCAAAGGAATGCAGCATTTGGGATGGTCACCCACAAACGAATCCGTTCAAGTAGATTACAACAAAAGCAACAAAGAAAAACATTTCGCTGTCTGTATACCGCTAAAACATTTATTCGGAAGCATGGAGGATTATCGTCAAGTTATTGTAAACATGCGACAAGAATTGGTGCTAATTCGAGCTAGAAGCGATACCGATTGTTACATGGGAACCGCCAACGATGCAGTAATATCGTTAACCAAAATTCAATGGAAAGTTCCGCACGTGACAGTTAGCGACAGTGCCAAAATCGGTCTATACGAACGGATTAATAAGGGTGCAACAATTACAATACCTTTTCGACAGTGGGAACTGTACGAATTACCCGCACTGAAACAGGCACAGTCGGATATATGGCCAATCAAGACCTCAACTCAATTAGAAAAACCGCGATGGGCAATTGTGGCATTTCAACGTAGCGGGAAGAAGTTTTCGCATGAGACAAGAGCGGGCGACTTCGATAACGTCAAAATTCGAAACCTAAAATTGCATCTCAACTCTGAAAGTTATCCGTACGAAGCGATGCATTTAGATTTTAATGCAAATAAGTACATAACGGCATATCAAAACTATGTAAACTTTCGACGAGATTATTATGCCAAGGATGAGCAAGACGCTCTGTTTGACTATTTGTATTTTAAAAGTTGTCCAATCTTTGTGCTAGACTGTTCAAAACAAAACGAATCTCTGAAGCATTCAACGGTAGATGTTAAGCTGGAAATGGAGTCGTTGGAGGCCTTCGAGGCAGGAACTGTTGCTTATTGTCTGATCCTGCACGATGCACTAGTTCAATACAATCCTCTGACCGGGGAAGTGAAAAAACTATAATCTGTATTTTTCAAATGTATAAATAAAATGTAGTAATGAAAATGTTCGTAGTTTTATTTCAACCGACTAAAATGAAGGTTGTGACGCAGACGCATAAGCTGTCCATTCAAAATCTGGATACCTTTATAACGACAAATGTGGAGCGCAAAAAACATGGCGAGTTGCTTCCAAATAGCGTAAGATGCTTAATCTGCGGACCGTCCAATTGTGGTAAAACAAATGCGATGCTCAGTCTGCTAACTGAACCCAATGGTCTACGCTTCAAACACGTGTACGTCTATTCCAAATCATTGAATCAAGAGAAATATAGACTTTTGGGAGAAATTCTGCAGCCGATGAAGGATATTGGCTTCTTCACATTTAGCGAGAATGCCGACATTATGGAACCCAATGCGGCCAGGCCTAATTCGATTTTTATCTTTGACGATATCGCTTGTGAAAAACAGGATAACATTAGAGCGTACTTTTCAATGGGTAGACATAACGCTATCGATTGTTTCTACTTGGGTCAGACGTATTCTAAAATTCCTAAACAATTGATTAGAGATAATGCCAACTTAATTGTCCTATTCGAGCAGGACGACTTGAATTTGCGACACATTTATGAAGATCACGTCGCTCCCATTATAACTATGCAGCTGTTCCGAGAGATGTGCTCGGAAAGTTGGCGAACTCCGTATGGCTTTATGGTAATCAATAAGGATGCGGATGTGCAAAACGGCCGCTTCAGGAAAGGTTTCGATCACTATATAATACCATGAAAGAGTGTTTATTGTTTAGTTGGAAATAAACGGCTATCAAGTCAACAGCTTCCAAAATAAACAGCTTTCAAATAAACAACTTATTAAAAAATAGGTCCCTGTTCCCCCTGTTTATCTGTTACCTGTTCCCTTGATCGCATCATGGATAATAAGGAGATGGCGTTGAAAAGACGAATAGTTCAGGCTCGTAAAGCGATACAACAAAAGTACAATCGTCTCAAAGCAGATCGTTCTTTTAGAGAAATGGAATTTGTACGAACGTATAAACCGCTTATCCAACCGCTATCCCAGATCGTAAATAAAATCGAACCACTGCCATCGGTGGTAACGAAAAAGGAAGAGCCAGAGGATGAAGTATTTACATCACCTCCCAAACGTCTATCACCCGCAAAAAGAAAGTCACCATCACAGCGCACGACGCCTGCGATACCTTATTACTCGCGTGTGAGACGAAGGCCCTCTTCACTTACCGAGATTAGTCCTCTGGCTAGACTTCCCTACTTCCAAAAATATCCACCAACCGATATTAGCCCAATGGTTAGACCTTTTCGCGCCACGGCTACTACCGCGTATATACGTCGAGCGCATGATAAGAGATACGAGTAATGCAATTGACACAACCTTTGGAATTCATTATAATGTTGAGACTGATAAGTGGACAATGGGCAACACACCGGTGATGATTAATGGTGACGATTTAATGATTAATGGCGTTCGATATAAGGGTACAGCAGGTCTATACGAACTTATCATTATGAATGAGCCGGATGAATCGCTAGTATCCAATCAGGATAGAAGTAACTATAAGCAGATAATAATAGCAACTCATGTCGCACGGCGCAATTACGATCCCACCGAGCAGATTCGTGGCAATAAGAGCAAAAAGTATACGCTCATAATAAAGCCTCTATTAAAGGAGGAGGAAGATGCGAAGAGGGGGCGTACGAAATCCGGAAGCGGTATTACTCTATTCAAGGAAGTCGATCGACCGATCGAATACAAATACTGGAATAGCGTACATGAATTGATTCGTGATTTAGAGGTTTTATGGGGTGAAAAAATGGCCGGCAACACTGATGTAAAAAATGACATAATATCAATCGTGGAAGAGATGTACGAGGAGGGTTACATACAAAAGCCCACGCAGCGATTTTTACGTCAACTAGTATAAATACCCCTTTTCAGTCTTTTTGATTACATTCACCATGGATAAATTCGGACGTTCGCATACCCATGCTCAATTTGGAAAACTGCTAAAGACAAAATTTTCCATTACTGACGATACGATAAATGTGGAAAATAAGAGACTAAGTAATGTTGCGGATCCTATTGAACGACATGATGCCCTAACCTTACAACACTACCTATCAACAAGACTAAATCTCAACGAAAACCGGTTAATGAATGTAGGCGAACCAATAGACGACGGCGATGCCATAAATAAGGGATTCTTCACATATTATATGCAGATTGCGAAAGCACCTGTAGACGGTCTTCGCAATTACGTGGAGGTACTAGAGGAAGAGCTGAAAGCGGTCAAAGAAACATTGCATAAAGTAATAAAGGATGCAGCAGGTGGTAAATGAGCTACATAAAGCTGCGCGCAAAAACTTTCCACGTAGACGTACCGTTATTAAAGGGTATGATGATCTTTGGCAAGCAGATTTGGCCGAATTCATACCCTACGCTAAACAGAATAAAGGCTACAAATACATACTGGTAGTTATCGATTGCTTCTCAAAATATTTGTGGACAAGAGGATTGAAGACCAAAACGGGCGAGGAGTTAACAAAAGCCATGCAAGATATTTTCAAAACTACCAGGCGTAGACCGCAAAATCTACAGACCGATGCTGGGAAGGAATTCTATAACAAATCATTCGCCAAATTGATGACGGAAGAACGCATTAATCACTACTCCACGTACAGTACAAAAAAGGCTGCCATAGCCGAAAGAACAATTAGGACGATCAAAAATTATTTATACAGACAGTTTAGTCTCCGTGGAAAGTATGTATGGATTGATGCAATCGAATTGATCACAAATGGATACAATAATCGTAAACATCGAACAACGGGGATGAAGCCGATCGAAGTAAAGGTCGACACGCAGCTGAATGTCTACAACCACATCAAGCTTTTCAACAAAAGATATCGATTTAATGTTGGCGATGTAGTTCGAATTAGCAAGTTTAAATCTATATTTGCTAAAGGCTACACATCCAACTGGTCTAGTGAACTATTCAAAATTGTAAAAGTACAAATAACCAACCCTGTGACATATTTGTTGGAAGACATGAACGGGAAACCTATACTTGGAGGATTCTACGAGCAGGAACTCCAAAGCGCAAAATATTCCGACGTATACTTGGTAGAAAAGGTACTACGACGGAAGAAAGATAAAGTGTATGTCAAATGGTGGGGATTAGACGAAAGATCTTGGATTGATAAGAATAACATTGTATTGTGAGCTTATTGGTTGTAAAATAAAAAGTCAATAAAAACATTTAGTCTTTTATTTACCATACAACATATTTTTTTACAGGTTTTTTTTTCCTATCACTATCATCTGTACTCATTATTTTTAAAAGTAACTCATACGTCTTCTTATAATCCATTAATTGGGTGGATGGCCAGATTGCAGAATCTGGCCCACAAGTCCAGCCAAGAATTGCGTTTGAATCACCTTCTCCTTTTTGTATATTTCCCATTATCCATCGGTAAATTTGTTTATGACGAGTATCTTCATAAGGGTTAAATTTGCATTCGATACTTTTCTCTATACATATATCGATAAACATTTCTAGAGCATTGACATTAGCGTACTGTGCAGATTCACATATACTTTCGTTTATCACACAAATAATATTTCTATGAACAGCCTTTGAATTAAGTAAATTGGTTATATAGATTTTGATATTTAATGGTAAGCTATCTACTATTTGATTGCCACTAATTTTTGATGAACTTATAACAGAGTCAACTAACTTATCTAGTTCAAGCTTCCTATCTACAAGTAATCTAATACTGTCTGGACTTATATTTCTAAAAGTAGCACACCAACTGAAACATTCGTCCGGTAAGACCAGGTTCTGTAAAATTTCATTAATTAAAGCATAATTTTGCACGGACGGAATTTCCAAAAGAGCTCGTTTCAAGAATTTTTTATAAACTGGAACAGAAGTGTAATGTAATTCATGCTCCAACTGAATTTTCAAATTTTCATGGTTCATGATGTGGCGGATGTATTCTGAAATGTAAAAAAGGGGCTGTGAGACATTGTCAATGACATTTGAATCCCCAAGGACGGGTATCAATGTTATTAGCACAGATAACACGTTTGTCATCGTGAGGACTCAATACTACTTTCTCCTGCTTCAACGTAAATACTGTATGTTTTTTTGAACGAATAAGATGCTGACTTCGTTTTATAATTAGAACGTTAAACAAAGCGTTCTTGTAATCATTTAGAGTAATTTCTCTGATGCTAGTCGATGTCGAGCCTTTAGATTTTTTGGTCAGTTTTCCCTCTACTTCATAAGCGTACATCTTAGCACGAAGTCCTACGAATTCGGTCATAATGTGTCCATGATTTTCATCTTTCATTAGACCGGGGATTTTTTTATTGACTAATGGAATCCCATATTCATTATTGATATCATAATTTGAGGTATCAAATCGATGTATATCATCTTTTATATTCTCGTATATATTGGGAACTGTAAAATAGTATATTAGGCTATCGGTATCTGTATACAGAAGTTTTGTTTTATCTTTAAACTGTTTGAGAATGTAGTTATAATGAAAGTCATAGAGAAACGTTTTTGATATATCTAAAACGGCAAATCCCGCGTATATTGGTTTATTGAAAAATATCTCTAACCTATCCATCTCTATTATAACCATATCCTTATCAAAAATGGTACAACTGCTAAAGTTTGGCTTCGCTATATACGCACGGGCTCCATACCTTCCCTCCCATTTGGTTAATAGTTTCACATCTTTGTATTTTCGCACGTTCTCCATAAGTTTACCATAGACGCAATTAATCATTAATTTGTAAAATTCTATTTCAAACATATTTTTCGCTTGTTGCCTCATGCGAGTGTTTAATTCAATATACTTTTTCAGCCACGGTGATTGCTTAAACTGTAATACTCTATTTATTTTTATCAACTTTAACCCATGTTGTACGTACATCTTTAAATTTCTATAATGAACTACGTAGTTGTGCTTTGGGTACAAGGTAAGCATTAGTTTCTTTAATTTTGAGTTATTTGGCACTAGATGCTCTGGGGCCAAAGGTAAATCAGAATGTAATCTGTGGCATTCCAAAGGATACTCTAAATCACAGTCTACAATATAACCAACGTCTGAATCATCAGGATGGTTTAGAATATCTAAATTTTGAATGTCATCTACAAAGGAAAAATCGCTGCAAGGCAAGAATTCACACATTGAGGCACCATAAAGGTTATTAATATCATAATACATTAAATAGGTCGTCTCCAGGTTAGGATTATATTTTTCTTTCATGTACGGGTTATTGGCCTTCGCGTATCTCATTGAACATTGTGCTACACCTCCTCTTATACCACTTTCAATAAACATCATTTGATCAATGTCACTTAAAAGTTCTAATTTAACGTCGGTGACTTTAAGCATTGCGTCAAATGCCAAACCCGGGGCGGTGTAATAATGTAACGGATCTAAGCGATAGGTACGCAAACAAGTCTCCCTAAAATTTTCAAAGATATCCGCCAAAAGGAGAACGTCCGTCATCAAATAGAGATCAGAATATTGACCTAAGGTTTTAATTTCGAACGCGTTCCAAATGTGATTCGCATGTTCATAGTCCGCTTCGCTCACAGCTTCATTTTTTAATTGACTAAAAAATGCATCTCGAGTTGGTAACACTGTCTCATTTAATTTCTCCCACGAATCAACGTAATCATATGGAAACACTCCCTTTCGAGTTAACAAATGGAATTCATTTGCATTACGACAATGCGCTCTAGTAATAGTTTTCTGCTCATTATCTAAATACGAAGATAGCTTATCTATACTACTGCTCATAAATCTAAAGGAATCGATAAATCGAAAATCTATGTTAGTGTTCTGCACATGCTTCGTGAAAGAAATATATTTTTCTTTGTTTAAAGGTAAGAGTTTAATTCCGCCAGGAAAGCCGATAGCGAGTTCTCGAATAAAAAAATGGGCATCGTATCCGCTTAAGTTATGGAAAACGACTGGTATAACATGGGAGTGGTTAAAGTTCAAATTACATGCCTGGTGAGCCGCCCCTCTGTACCGCCCCGTCATATGATGGTGATCGCGTACTTTAATTTGATCTTCGGTAAAAGGTTTCTCGCAAATGTGACACACTATAGCGTTCAAATAGTTTTGCATCTGATGAGGACTAAGAACTTCCATGGGAACAATAGTATTCACAATTTCATTTGCCCAATCGGCAATCTCGCGCAATCGTTTAATAAACCATTGAATACAATCAGGTCCTCTGTATGAAAACAATTTCGAAAGCGACTCATCATACGAACACTTAAGGTAAAAGGCAATACTAAAGGGAGTATGCTTTTGGTAAAATGTTGTGTTAGCATTTGGAAGATTGACTTTATCACATTTTTCCAAGATGCACTCAAGGTCTGAATAAATAGTAAATGCCACCTTCTCCATGTTAGAATAATGTGTGAATTTTAGAATCCTTTCCGAGTCATTAGGCAGTCGAATGGAGCACTTATTGACTTGATGACATTTAAGCGTATGCTTTTCTAATAAATCACTCGTTGAAAAGTGGTTCAGACAAATATTGCAGAAGAATTTCTTATGTCCTCTACGAGATAGTTGGGAAGATAACAACGCTGACATATTTTTAATCCATGCAAAATGATAGTAACAGTTATTGGTATTGAGGACTTTATTCCTTTGATCAGAAACCAACACCAATAAATTGATAGTTTTTCTATTATCAACTTTACCACTTAACATAAAAGGAAATATATTTCTCTTAACTATGCAATATAAGTTAATGGAGATATCATTCATGTTCTCAAATTTTTTAATATCTGTTAGTTTAATGGGGAATTTGATAGATCCACGATTTAATACTTGGTCAAAATGAGGATAACTACTTACTCTATCGGCATTTTTATTAACGGGATGCAATGCTGCGACTATTGACCACAGAAAACAAAACTGATCATTATTCTTTACGTTAATAACTGCTCTCTTAGCGGCTATAAAAGGAGGAACTTTGACGTATGTTGAAAACCCTCCCTTAATGGGTACGTACTGATTAATATTGATTTTCAGATTTACTATATCCGATAAGGCCCACCCAGAGTTCTTTTCGGAGAAATTCTCCAACTTTGTTTGAATTTTATCGAAAACGTTTTCATTGTACCATTCCCTAAGATTAGTACCGATGTCAATCGGAGCATTTTTGGTCTGGAATGTTTTCAAGTCTATAATGCTAGTTTGAGGATGAATAAAATTGCAAGTTAAAATGACGTTTACTTTTAACATGGATCTTGCTAACGCTATCTTAATTTGGCGTAAAAAACTATCGTACGCATGATTTAGAAAAATTAGGGGATCCTTATAACCAAAATTAACAATAACACCAGTAATTAAACGGCCATTGAAGCAGGAGTCTAATGTGTACCACGCTAGTTTACGTGATCGACTTTTATTGATGACATCGATCCCACAACCCCTTTTTTTCGTGGAAAAATTCTTTAATCGCTCTTGTAACGTAGCCAAATAGCTTTTCAAGAGCGCCAAATTAGATTCAAGTCTCGAAGAATTTTCATTCGGATTATTGAAATGAACTTGATTGACAATAGCTCTTTGCAATATTCGAATGTTGGTTTTCGCGATTGAAATGTGTTTAACAATTTCAGATTTCTTTTTTAAGAGATTTGCCGAATGTCGGGTTAGGTTAACGATCTCACTGCTTATACTCGAAACAGATTCCATACTTACTATGCTGATCAAAGGGTTTTAATTATCCAAGATTTTAATCTGTGTAAATCCTAGAAATGTTGCACTCATAAGTTATCCGACACTAGTGCGATTAGCTGACCACGATCCTAGATGTCACAACTGAGATACTGCTCGAATGATACTGTATACGTAAGTGAACCTGAGAACAGGAACAAATTCTCTTTATAAGGTGTATTGCAAATGTTATTGCAGGTGAATGCTCCACTTTTTCTGTTACTTAGAATTTTCTTATCGGCAGGTGTGCGCTTTGACCGTCAACCTGCCTGAGAAAAAGTCTACGTTCCCACGAGAGTTTATGATAACGTTAACATTTTCTCGTAAGTGTAAACCTGAGAACAGAAACGGATTCCCTTTCATAAAAAGATGGAAAGGTTACTTCAGGTGCATGCCCTACTGTTACTTAGAATTTTCTCATCGGCAGATGTGGACTTTGACTGTCAACCCGTCTGAGCAAAGTTTACGTTCCCGCGGGAGAGTTTATGCTAACGTTAACAAAATATTCTCGGTATATACCCGTACATGTCTTACATGAATCAGTTTAGAGTTCGATGCAAATCGCTATCATGTCGGCGGCAAAACGTGTAAAATTATCTACGAAAAAGAGTGCACCAAAAGCGAGTGGTAGTTCTTCAACAACGACAGTACCGAAAAATACAAAAACTGCCGAAAAACCTCTTCCGCAAGAAGCTATCATTAATTTAGTGGACGAGGATGGTCCAACTGAGAGGTAAATATGATTTTTGTGCAATTATTTCATGAAGATACTAAAATGAACTTTTATTTTTTAGAATAACAACAACAACGACTCATCTAAGAAACAGCGCGTTTAATACCTTGGATGAGTTGCTGGATCAGTTGGATGGAAACATCCACCACGTGTACGCTCCCCAAAGGTAAAACATTCGCAATACCAAAATAACATGAAATTAATATTTTTTTTCCTTTTAGAGTGGACAACAACATAAAAGGCACCGTCAATAACATGCAGTAAGTTAAAAGCGCACCGAAGTATTTTTTTATACCTTTAACTTATATTTGCAGACATTATCAAACCACCACCAGCCTACAGCCGGCTCAAACAGCACCGCAATCGACAAGTTACCAGTTACAGTAAGTTGCATTGAAGAAGAGTAATTAACCTAACTTTGTCAAAATAACATGAAATTAATATTTTTTTCCTTTTAGAGTGGACAACAACATAAAAGGTACCATCAATAACATGCAGTAAGTTAAAAGCGCACCGAAGAAACTTTTAATACCTTTAACTTATATTTGCAGACATTATCAAACCACCACCAGCCTACAGCCTGCTCAAACAGCACCGCAATCGACAAGTTACCAGTTACAGTAAGTTGCATTAAAGAAGTGTAATTAACCTAACTTTAATATTTATTTCAGTATTCCAGAGGGGACCGCCCGTGTGCTACAACATATTATAATACCACCGCCACCACCACCGGCAGAGCCGCAGTAAGTTGCATTCTCTTAAAAGAAAAACGACTTCTATGAATTTATTTTGCTTTCAGACTACAAGGAGCACAACAACAGACGAGTACCGTCGGTCAATCTCAGTAAGTTATTTTGAAAGTGTAATGAAAAGAAAGTTCTAACATTCCTATTCTCTTTGTTACAGGCATGCACAAAAGGACATGAAGCTTCTGAGGGAGGTGTTCGAACAAAGCTTCTATGAGACGATCTCCCAGCCTCCTTCAGAAACTGGAGAAATAATTCCACCGATCCAACTTCCAACAGCCGTCGTTCCCTCATGGATTGAACCTGCAACACCCCGTGAATTGGCGAAGGCGTCGCTTGCATGGTTGCAACAGAAGGCTCCTGAATACATGCAGCGGTACGAAGACGCGCAAAAGGCAACGAGGAGGCTGGAAGAGGAGCTCGATGCAGCGCGCCTCACCGAACGACGGCTGGGCGAAGAAATGACTTATATGAACAAATTTATTAATTTTTTGAAATAACAAATTGTAAATAATAAATGTAGTTTAGATGGATAATTTTATTTAAAATGGTAAAACGAGCAACCCATAACTTCCCTCCTTGAGTATTAACTATGAGAGTAAATAGTTCCATTTAACGTTAATCGTATAGAAAGAAGCGTAAAGCGTACTTCCACAATCTCTGGACCTGGAGCATAGTAAAACGAGCAACTCATAATTCGTCTGAATATGAGAGTTCGATTTTACCAGTACATAATATCGTAAGTTTATTAGTGATCGCATAGAGAAAGTCTGCTAACTTCCACGATCTTGCATATGTTGAGAATGATAAAACGAGCAACTCAATTCGTTTGGGTATGAGAGTTCGATTTACCAGTTCATAATACGTAGGTGATCGCATAGAAAGAAGTGTAACTTCCACGATCTTTGCATAAATGTGAAGAATGAGAGTAGCTGGGGAACACGGCGGATCTTAATGAGATTGACTTAATACATTCTCTAATAAGGTACCGACCGTATACTTTTAATACACCGCGCTTTTACGGTCGCCCGCGCTAAACATCATTCCCTATAATAGACGAGTATGTTTCAGGGGAACTCGGCGGCTTACAGCGATAGACCGTGGTACATTGTCTCATTAGAAGCCGCTCTCGCATTGTGATATCATTCGCTTTCGCTGTATGGAAAACCACCGCAATAAATCCCGCTGAATTTACTTACGGCATCAGAGCAATTTTTTTAAAGTTTTTAAACAAAATATTGTTTAACATTGTGCTTTACTTAAAGTAGGTACCACTTTTCTGAATAAATGTACAATTAAGTTCGTGTACCTTATCAAAATTTCTTATAATACGACAAAATATACTTTTACTAGGATTACGTTTTAAAGATGTAACTCGTTAATGAAAATTAAGTACCTACTCTAATATTCCCAATATAAAGGTGAAAAGAAGATTGAGAATACATTCTTATAGGCGGAGATAAAATGTCTATTTTTACATAGTACCTACATTTATGATAATAAGGTCAAAAAGTGCACAATAACATCTGGAACGATTCGTTTAAATTCGTTAATTCCATTGAGTGTAGGGACGGCTTTTTCCTTCCCCTAAATTACAAAGGGCTTCAAAAATTATCCACCGTGCATTAACCATTATGCCTTTCCATTAATAAGTACTTTAACCGGAACACATTTACTCCTACTTACTCTCAAACTACTTAATTTTCTTAATATTTACTTGGTAGGTGGGTTTAGATACCTAATGGATTTGGCAAATTAAATTAGATGCATTCAAACAAAATTTATTGGTTGCATGTTTACAAAAATTGTAACAAATTCTTTGTTTAGCGAGTAACTTTTCACAAAACATATTCAATTATAGATAGGTAGCTCCTTAGTTTCCATTAATCTCTACAGAAGGTCTTCCAGCCCGAAAACTCCATAAGCGAAATTTCTTCCAACACATCAATCATTTTAAATTTAACTTATTAATTTGTCGTTGGCATTGAAATACTTCAATATCCCACTTTAATTTTTTCAAATTTATGAGTAACTTCTCAAGCCTCTTCTTTTGTGATATATACACTGGCGATACCTTTGCTTTTCTCGCAACTGATTCAGTGGTTTTTGTCATCTTGCTGTCTATCAATTACGTCTAACAACCGACCACTTTATATTCCCCCAAGTAGTTAACCACGCCCTCTTAAGACATCCCCTCC